TTGAAATTGAGCAGCGAATGGGTTGAACGGATAATCTTGACTCGGCTCTTCTGTGGAAAGGGTGTCGGGAGCAAGTACCATATAAGATTTTGTGGGATTCTCGGAAGCCGTGGGAAACCAAGAACCGCCCTACCTGAAAACCCAAAATTGAAACTCAACTGTGACCCTTTGAAACACGAAGCCCTCGATCTTTCAAGCCGTGGACTTTGAGTCTCGCTGCCACAACAGTTGCACATGTGTGAGGTATCGTTCCAATGACCTCTGTATCCGCAGCCTTGGGCTGACCTGACGTGTCAGGTTGCAAAATCTCCCGATAAAGTCCTCGTCGATGCTGCAGCTTTCAATCAAAGGATTTTCGCAGACACCATGCCTTGCCGTCTGAAAGATCATGTTGTGAACCAGGTGCCACATCATATGGATCTTTGGCACCAGGCCAAACTTGAGCTCGGATCGCAAAAAAAACAAGTGTGCCAAACGGGCATAGCAGTCCAAGAAATGGCGCCCAGCCAGGTTGATGGGTCTGGCCTCCGGTTCTGGCAGCCAAGCACCCCCGGAATGTAGCATTCGCATCCAGGAATTGAGGGCACGGCTTGACGAAGCCTTGAGCTCATGCGACAAAAGCTTGCAATTTGTAAATCACAAAATATGGCCCAAACGACAAGAAACTTTATGCCAAAACTAAGCCTATCGTGCCAAGAAACAATGAGACGGTTTGCTTCGTCGGCATGGTTTGGTAGATCCCAGGCAATGCTCAAGTGTTCGATGAACAAGCACAAGCTTGTTGTCAAGGCACCTTTATTCCATGCTCCACTGGCCTCCTGGTTGGCGCTTTTCCAACCCAAGTTGTCTCTCGTCAATCGCTGAACGAAATTGGTTATGGAGTGCTCCTGGCTTTTTGTACCATGCAGTCAAGCACAAGATTGCACACGAGCATTTAGCGAGCAAAACGAAACTGGACTATGAAGCCTGGAATCTTTGCAGAACTCGAGATAATTCGCGGAAAGCTCCGCCAGCCGGGCATCAACCGAAGACCCATTGCAATACTGCTGTAGGTGGGCCAAGCAGCTCGCTGCATAGTTCTTGCCAATCCCAATGCTAACCGTATGAAAGACATCGATTTTATAAAAGGTTTCTTTGTTCTCCGGCTCGTGGAGCAACACCTTCGTGAAGCAAGGCTCCTCGTCCCATGGCAACTCAGCACCAAAAGTGCTGGCAAATGCTGGGTTTGAAGACCTCGGCTTTGGAAGATGCTTGATTTTATGCGATGCGGAGAGGGGAACAAACCCAAACAAAACATCCAGTATAAACTGAGGCACAAATCTTCGAAATCGAGCCCCGGCCTTCCGGCCAGACACAAGTGACAGACACCGGTGCCCGGCTTGCTGGCAACGGCGGACTTGGGGCCATTCTTATAAGAACGGTTCAGATTTGCACTGACAGCCTCAAGCAGGGTTCAATCACACAAATCTTTCGTTTCAGGACATATTCGCTTTATACAGCATTTTATAAAAAAATACCAAACAAACAAACTTTAAATTGAACACCAGGAACCATGTACGACCAATCACCCTTGTGCCCAAGAGGTATCGGATGCAGTACTTTACCCGATCGAAGCGGGACCCCATTTCGGCATGCATCATCCAGCGATCTCGCAGCCAGCTCTAAGTACTGCTTGTAAACATCAGGACAGTTTCGGTAGTCCTCCTTTAACCCGGCCACAATCAGAAACCGTGTTTCGAAAGCATGGCCAAGGAAGTTCATAAACTGCTGGTTGTTGCCACCAAGTACATTGCCCACTTTATTCTTGGATGTGCCTCTGCCGAGTGGGCTTTGAAAGGACAGCACCAATGCTCCGTCCTTCTTATAAGTAGTGCCTTCGTCACCGTGCAAGTACACTGGTAAGCAACTGTCCAAAGGAATTTGTAGATCGAATACTTGGTGCTTGGGGTGGACCTGCTTGAAGTTAGCCCAGTAAGAAGAAAGCACGTTGGGCAAATCATCCATGGAGCAGCCAGCCAGTTTTGCTAGCCTTCCGGCTTGGTCTAAAGACTGAATCCAAGAAGATACAGGGATGTATGGGTGCTCGCGGTATTGCCCCACATGTGCATAAGATAACTTCACATCCAGTCGTAAACCTGCTTTGGCAAAAGCCCGGGCCACCACACTCTCCTAAACTGAGATCAAGAATCATGCCTGGAATTGGCTGCCTAGGGTGTATAGGGTTAGAGGGTGTAGGGTTCCAGGGTTACAGGGCTCATACAGGGTTTAGGATTTAGGGTTATAGGGGGTAGAAGGGCTTGTGCAGGGCACAGACATTGCAGGCGAAGCACAGACTTCGTCTCGGCTGCATTGTAGAGGTCCCACAGAACAGGGCAAACTTGCAGATTTTTTTGCTCTTCGCGATCTCGCATGTCATAGCGTACGATTGCAGTGGCCTGTTGGATAATGTCCGTGCACGGGGCCTCGGAAGTCAGAAAGGGCCTGAGGGGCTTAAAGGTCTATAAGGCTTCTGTTTCACATTCAACCCTGAACCTGATAAGAAATCACGAATGAAATCCGGCACTGATAGATGCTTCTGAACACGAACCGCCATGGATGCAAGCCACCCCGGTGGCATAGCTCCATGCCAGCCGCTCAGCAGCATCGGAGGGACCTGGCATTTGAAAGGTCGATTGCGGTGGACACGAGGTTCTATAAGCACTTCCCAAGGTTTAGGGTTTAGGGTTTTGGGTTTAGGGTTTATAAGGTTTAGTTTTAGGTTTTAGGGTTTTGGTGTTTAGGGGTTTAGGGGTTTAGGGTTTTCCCAGCAATCGTGGGCTGGACTTCAGGCTTTTCTTGCACCCAAGAGGGTCTGTGTTGTCACACAGCGAACAGCATCCTATAGGGATCCTGCGGAATTATCAGTGCACTGGGAGTCTTGCTGCTCGCAGCATTTGCTTGCTGTGCAGCATGTGAAGTCACACACCACACGAGCCGTCAAGCTTCAGCTGTACAGAGATCGACAAAGCATCACTTCTTGGTTCGTGCCGCCTTTGACTTGGGTGCCTTCACTGGCTTGGGTTCGGCCCCCCCTCGCTTCAGACCCTTCTTCATCTCCATGAGAACCAACCTTGTACAGGGATATAGGCGAAAGTCGTCCAACATGCATGTGCACATGCACATGGAATCTATAGTACACAAAGCCGAAGAGCTTCACCCGAGATTCCATGGCAATCAGATCAGCACACCTTAGATCACATGTGAGGCAATGACATCCTTATACAGTAGCCCCAACACAGCTTCAAAAACAAATGGAGGTGAGCTGCGGCTTCTTGATGATGTTCCTGGCGGAGGTCACCTTTTCCAGGCACCTGGGCCGAGTATATACGAGGATGCATATGAAGGGTATTGGACTTTAGGGGTTTATAGGGTTTAGGGTTTGGGGTTCAGGAAATATGTGTGAATCTGAGAAGCTCGGCCGTCATTGTTTCGGTCTGGCAAATCAGAAGCTCGGCTTTCACCTTCGCCAGCTCGCGGAAAGCAGTTTGAAAGTGCTCATCGATGGTGTCCAGGTCTTTCATCAGACTTAGGTAGCGAGTTGTCTGGAATGTTGAGGCTTGGACACAAGCATGTGCACTAAAACTGTTCGGGTTAGGGCTTTAGGGGTGGGGGTTATTGATTTATAGGCTAAGCGACTCCTCTTTGGCTGCAGGCAATGTTGGAGCATCTTCGGAGTCGGAAATTGTTTTCTGGAGCTTAGCGATCGTCGCCATATGGCCATGCACAGAGTCCATCAGCTTGACAAGGTCCGGGAGAGTCTGCCACAAAAGGTTTCTATTACAATAGTTGGTGCACAACTGCTACATAATAAGGATTGCCCTCGACGTGTCCTGGCCTTGTCTCCCACCTGTTCTTGCCGGGGTTGTGCACCGGCTTCGTCGACAATAGCAGGAGGAGCATCCGTATCGGTCGGCATGTCTCCAGGCGCTTTCTCCTGACTAGCATGCTTTACCACAGCCGAGGTTCATGCTATCTCCGAATGCAGCTGGGCATCTCCACAGTCCATCGTCTCAACACGTCTCAGGAGCTCGGAGTGCTTGATGGTCTGCTTGGTGGAAGTTTCAACGAAGTACTCAAGCACTTCAACATTGTATTTCCATTTCCTGTAGTCAGGCATAGAAGGAAGATGCAGCAAGCTGACGGGTATATGCTGGCACGTCATGAAACAGGGCCTCGTCAAGATCTGGGGGAACCGCAAGCAGTAGTCTATGATCGACTTGATCGTCTGCCTTAGGTTTGACAGACTGCATGACTCGATTGCATTCAGTGGTGGAGCGAGCACAATGACGATCAAGCCTAGTAGCTTGCTATACTCTCCACTCTTCACCATCCGCTCTTCTGTTAGCCATTCTCCGTTGCTTTCGGACTCCTTGAGATGTTGCCGTTCGCGGATCTGTGTCACCTGGACTTTGAAGGAGGCCTCGGTGAGACGACAAGCTCGATCAAGGATGCCGGTCGGTTTGTGGGTGTTAGGATTCAGGGGTGCTGGAATTTAGGAATGCAGGCTCAGGGGATTTCAGGGTGTTGGGGAATTTCAGTTTAGGGGCTTAAAAGTTTCGAGAAAGTGTTGGTTTACAGGGGCACTCGTTTGGGTTTTGGTAGCATTGGTTTGTGGGCTTGGCTCGAAAGCCTTGAACACCCGAAGCCATAAACCCTGAAATCGTATAATACTTGTAGTCGGCAGCAATGTGCTTTGCTATATTTATATATAGGGTTTGGAATGGTTTAGGGTTTAGGGCTTATAGGGAGTATAGGGTATAAGGCTTTGCAAGCTAGGTGCCTGCACCAGTTTGTGGGCAGCTTTACCACGTCCAAGAGCATCCGGGCCCACAGCCTGCAAAGCCTCCAGCAAGGCCAATTCCAACCACTCCCTTTCTGGCCCTGCGGATACATACTGCTGGTGCGTTTCATCGTCGACATGGCACTTCTGAGACTTTGATTTTTTCTCGCACATTCTCTTCAATCTCATTCTCAGGGCATCCTGTGTCAGGACCTGT